CTAGAAAACATTGGCCCTGCCAATGATTTCCATGATTTGGGCCTCCCAGCCTATAGTTTGAAAATCATGGAAATCATTGAAAACATTAGCCCTGCCAATGTTTTACATGATCTCCATGATTTTCGAACTATAGGCTGGGGGTCCCAAATCATGGAAAACATTGACCCTGCCAATGTTTTCTGCACCTGGAGCTAGAAAACATTGGCCCTGCAAAGGTTTTCCATGATTTCCATGATTTTCGAACTATAGGCTGGGAGGCCCAAATCATGGACAACATTGGCCCTGCCAATGTTTTCCATGATTTGGGCCTCCCAGCCTATAGTTTGAAAATCATGGAAATCATTGACAACATTAGCCCTGCCAATGTTTTCTGCACCTGGAGCTAGAAAACATTGGTAAAAACCAATGTTTTTGAGGATGCCACTGCAAAATCATTGGTTTTGCTAATGTTTTCTAATGGTGCCTAAGGTTGTAGTTCAGAAATCATGGAAATGTTTAGAAATTATTGGCTATACCAATGTGTCATCCTCCTGTCATTGAAAAACATTAGACATTAGCAAAACCGATGTTTAGCAATGGCTCCAACTCCTTGCTAGACACACATGCCACACGTTCGGTAGCTTCTTGCGGTTTGCGCTATGGTTCGCTGGACATTCGATGTTTCCGTATGCAAAAATTTGCCTATCCAGTTGTCGAACGACATACTGCAGCTAGTCCTGGGCAATGTGCCCGATGATGCGAATCGTATCCCTACCGCTCCAACGGAACAGCCACGGGCGTTCATGACATTGACGAACAGTATCTCGCCATGATTAGTTTCGTACTTTCATGTAGTAGTTTTCCATACCAACGAACCTGCCTCTTGAAATTTTATTCCAAGGCACAGTGGTGTGGCGCTACAAGACAGTGTTTTACGACTTCGATGCTACAGCAAGTGAGAGGCATCTAAGTGAGTTAGAGCATGCTTTGCTTCTGGAAGCCCTTTCCAAGTAAACCGAGCTGACTTGCTGCTGCTGAAATCAGAGATCTCTGCCTTAATGCCACACTTTGGCGCCATTCTCATCAAGTTTTATGTGAGTGCGAAAAGGTTATTGCTTGTAATGCGAAGCTGCCTCCAGTTCAAATCTGTAAGTTCAGTTTATCCTTGCGCTCCTGTCAGTACCATGGCTGCTCGTGGTGGGAATATGACGGTTGAAACGGTCTGACGTACCCTTCCTGGTGCTATCAGGAAAGTGGACTGGAAACCTTTGGCCTTGAAGCACATCAGCAAGCGCAACGTCGTTCTCCACACCGACTCGGCCCGATCCTACAAAATGAAGTTACCCGGCGTCGTGCACGATGAGGTGGTACACAAAAAGAAACGCGTCAAACGAAACGGAAAGTGGGTGTGGCTGAGACCGACCTTCGTTCGCGTCCCGAAGCACACCTTGCCTGATGGGCGTAGAATTTCCTGTAAAGCGGCAACCCAAATTGTGGACCGCGCGTGGAAGTTTATTAAGGCCAGACTCTGCAGAAACCAGTATGTGAAGTCGTCCTGTTTGTTGCTTACTGCACAGATTCGCAGTGCACAGTGGGAGTACTGGAATCGCCACGGAGATCTCAGGTTGTGTACCGGACATGTTGTTGCCTCCTACATGGAAGGCATGGTGAAGAGGTAGGTGCTGAGTAAAGACATAAGCCACGCTTCTTGGACCTGAAATGTGTGATCTTTAGTACGGTATGCATGGCATACCTCTTTGCCAGCTGCACACAGAAGAGAGTGAGAAATCGCTCTTTCCCAGATGCACACAGAACAGAGTGACAAATCACTCTTTGCCAGACGCACACAGAAAAGCCAGAGAAATCAGATTGCTGAATTGAAATCATGACTGTGGTGTGTGTGTGTTGTGGCACCAGCATGCACTGAATGCTATTGCTTCAGCTGTGGCTCACAGAGAAACAATTCCAAAACAGAAAAGCAGCTCCCTTCCTTGGTGTAACACCCTCATTAGGATTTATAACTTTAAGCATCCAAGGAAACCTGACTGCATTGGAGTTCGTTGTCTCTGGGCGCTACATATATGTACGTGTATATGCATTTGACTACAGGCTCGTACACATAACTAGATAAGAATTCTTATTTATTCTTGAACTTCAGTTTGGGCTGAACAAGAAATAGCTTTCTGAAGCCCAAAAAAAGGTAGTTACATCGGGGGGGGGGGTAGCATACATATATATATATATATATATCAAGTAATGCGGTTCCCCTGGTATGGTAACCTCACTCAAGTTCCTGACGCTCTAAGATTAGTGTGAGTCCCCAATTATAGTGACTTCAGTTAGTTCTTGAAGCCCTGAACCCTTAACGCGAAAACCTACACTCCAGACCCGAGCCTTAGACCGTAAACCCAGAGGAGGGCCATGTTGAAGTGGCCGGCTTGCTGCTGGCAGCTGGTGCCTCTCCTGGCCACGCCTCTCTAGAGGTAGAAGGCTTCATAAACGCTATTTTCATAAAGGGATATATAATATGAAATTATATGACATATTATATATATCATATTAGAACCGCTAACTCCTATATAATATATATATATATACATATAGGAGTTAGCGGTTAGGGTTCAGGCCTTTTAATTAAATCGAGGGCGCCTATAAAGGCCCCAACATACTATAATCCTTATGGTGGGAACTTCAAAAAAGGTACCCCTAATTTGGGGAACCCCCAGGACTGCTCTACGCCTTTGCAGCTGTCAGCTCAGCAGGGCCACGTGCCCATCGTGCGCATTTTGCTGGATGCGAGGGCCTCTGCGAACCAAGCCGCAGAAAACGACGGCACGACTCCTTTGCATCTGGCTGCCCAGGAGGGCCATGTGGAAGTGGCACGCTTGTTGCTGGAAGCTGGAGCTTCCCCTGAGCCAGAGCTGACAGATGGTGCTGCTACTCCCCTACATTTGGCAGCTCAGGAGGGACATGTGGACGTGGCACGCTTGTTACTGGAAGCTGGGTCCAAGGTTGGTCAAGCAAAAGAAAACGGCACAACTCCTTTGCACGTGGCAGCTGAACAGGGCCATGTAGAGATGGCGCGGATATTGCTGGATGCTGAAGCCTTTTGGTATTGTTTTCCATTATCCAAACAAAACTCCATAGAATAACAGAAAATATGTATACTATGATATATATTATAAGATACGACGATATATCATACTATATCAAAGTATACCATAATCTACCATCATATATTCTAATATATCTAATAATAATATACTAGTGAGGATGCTGGAGCCCTTTGCGGGGCAGCCAGAACCGACGGTGTAATGCCTTTGCATCTGGCAGCTCAGGGAGGCCACCAGGAAGTGGTACGGTTGCTGCTGAAAGCTGATGCCAAGTGTGACTAGGTACCCAGTAGCACCTGTTTAGGATTTAGGGTTTAGGAATTACGGTTTGGGCGCTTTATTTCAGGTACCCAAGTAGTATTCTTTTTCCCATATTTTTTTGGGGTCTCCTTATTAAAGCTCAAGGAAAAGGGCACCCGTATTAGTAAGAATTTCATGGGGAACCGAGGTGAGGATGCAGCTGTCCCTCTCGGAATGACTCCTCTGCATGTCGCAGCCCTGGCCGACCATGTAGAGGTGGTGAGCTTGCTGCTAGATGCTAGAGCTTGCTGCAACGCAGTCACCGTAGAGGATGGCGCAACACCGCTGCACTTTGCAGCTGAGAAAAGCTACACGGCAGTGGTGCAAACTTTGTTGGGCGCCCGAGCATCTTGTAATGCAACCAGGACAGATGACGGGGCCATTCCTTTACATTTAGCCGCTCTGTATGGCCACGCAGAGGTGGTGCAAATGCTGTTGGAGGCTGGAGCATCTTGCAATCAAGCTGCAGCAGATGACGGCAAGGCTGCTTTGCACTACGCAGCCGAGTCTGGGCACAAAGATGTTGTAAAAATGCTGCTGGATGCTGGAGTTTCTCGAGATCAAGCCACCCCAGATGACGGTTGCACGCCTTTGCAGCTAGCTGTTCGGGCCGGGCATACGGAGGTCGTATCCATGTTGCAAAGCAAAGCCAGGAGACTGAGTTAAATGGAGAAGTGGCGCTGCGTCGTTTAGCTTATGCTCCAGACCACAACCCTAAGGGTCCAAGTACTCAATATTCATATGAGCTATAGTCTTAACTCCTTAAAAGTGATTATATAAGGGATCATATGAGGGAGTATACTAGGGCTTATGAAGGGGAATATTGGGACTTTAGACTATAGCCCGTATACTTACCCCATTACCGTTACGGGCAGACTATGACATTATGAGTAGATCCCAAGTGCTCAATTAGCCCAAACTTGGACCCTTACCCCACATAACCAACCAACCATATATACCCCTAACAAATCCTATATGGTAGATTCCCCAAATAAGGGGACCCCCCATATAGTCCCCCAAAAGACTATAGTCCTTACTATAGGGACCGCCAAAGAGGTACCCCTAATTTTGGGAAACCCCCATATAAGCCACCTCATACGTACTACTTGGACCCTTGGGCCGAACTTCGCCAAAGCCGCGGAGTGAAACCGGGGAAGTGTGTTGTGCTTGGGGACTTATATAGGGATACTGGAAAAGAAAATGGAAACTACTATTTAGGGTTTAGGGTTAGAGTCCCCCTTAAGTAGATAGAATATGGCTTTGGGTATATTAGAATATAATCCCCAGCTTGGACCCTAGACCCTTGACCCTTTGGGATGCCCTTATACTCTTGTTATAGGTACCTAAAGGGTTAACCCTTAGTAGGAGTCTTGAGTACCCCCAACCCTAAAACCCCTATATTTGGCCTATAAAGCCCTATAATCAAGTAGCTTCCATTTTCATTTCCATAAACCCTGAGTACGGGTCCTAAGTACCCTAAACCCTAATTCCTAAACCCTAATCCCTAAACCCTAAACCCTTAACCCTTCGTAGGGGTCCTAAGTGCCACGTAGTGTTGTCATGATGTCAGGTTGCCTGGCTGTATCAGCAGGCCTTGAGCTAGCTTTTCTTTGTGGCATTTAGGGTTTAAGGGTTTAGGGTTTAGGGTTTAGGGCCTGAGTGGAGAACCTTGACCTATATACGGCTTTGGGGTTTAGGGTACATGCGGACCGAAGTCAGAGCGTCCAAAGTGAGACAAGTGATGTTTTTTAATCACAACTGCAAGTTGTATCAGAGGGTTTAGGGTATATATATACTTACATAGTCCCCTCAAGTAGAAAGAGAATATGGATTATTTGGGGGGATCTTCTTATGGTTCTGGGGCATTCCATATTCTGTCTACGTAAGGTGGCCTATATATATATATGTATATATATTTGTTTATTAATTTATGTATCTATCTATATGATGTCCGGCGATGTTTCAGGGTTAGCCTGGTTTGGGCGAGGAAACTCAGCAAGTAGACAATATCTGCGAACACCAGACCACATTTCATGACTTGGCGAACTTGGGCCAAGCGAAAAAAAATGCTATAAGGTAAGCAGATGGCTTCTGTGAAAAGCCTTAGCGAAGGCTGCTGCAAGCATATGCAAAGGGCTTACTGGGGGTTAGAAGGGAATAAGGGAACCTATAATGTAAGGATTCTATAGGGTTTATATTCCATAAACCCTAAACCCTCTAAAACCTAACAAGGGCTCAAGGATTGGGATGGAGAGTCCAGGTTGCACAGGAGACCTATAAATGGTCCGCGGCAACGTTTAAGGAACCTAAATTGAATTCCCAGAATATGGGTATGTAGTAATTCAATAATATGGGTACATAGTACATGTTGGTGTTTCCTGGGAACTTGAGTGTTTGCAGCAACCCAGGCCAGGGTTGCTCTAAACCCAAAGCCCGAAACTCTAAGCCCTAAATCCGAAACCCTAAACCCTTAGCCCTAAACCCTGGACCCTAAACCGATAACCCAGGCTTGTGTTGCATGTCTCCGACATCGGAGGATTGCCAGAGAGCTTCGGCGACGCCAGCACCCACGATAAGGACCCTGTACCTTCTTTCAGGAGTTGGGGTAGCCAAGCTCTCCCTGTCATTCATTACATCCCCACATATACCCAGATACCCTACATATCCCTATGATTCTAAACCCTAAACCCCTAAACCCTTAAACCCCTAACCCCTAAACTCTATAAACTCTAGCCTAAGAGCATGGATGGATCCGGCGAGCGGCGCTGAGGTCCATGTTCCCCGTTTCGACTCGGGCGGTGCTTTTTGGTACCTACTCTGGGATCAGGCCCGGGTTCATTCTTGAGAGTTTAGGGTTTATAAGGTTTGTTGAGTGTTTATAATATAGGGTTTGTAGGGTTTAGGGTTTAGGGCTCAGGTTTAGGGTTTAGGATTTTAGGGTTTAGGAGTTTAGAGTTTTTGGGTTCAGGGTCTAGAGCGTAGGGGTTTAGGGTTTAGGGAAAGCCAGATCCCCATAACATGGGTTTAGGGTGTAGGGTCAAGTGTCTGGAGATTCCCAGGCGCCCCTACACAGGGACACGGATTCCCTCATGATTCCCTCGTGAGGTCCTCCGTAGGGGCTCTGTCTTTTTCAAGGGTCCCCAAGCGGTTTAGGGTTTAGGCCCTTGGGCTTAGGGTTTCGGGCCTTGGGCTTAGGGTTTAGGGCCTTGGGCTTGGGGTTTAGGGGGATCTGAAGATGAGATCCCTTAGAACCATATGGGCTATTGTCAATAATAGGTTTATTAAGGGACCCTCAACAGTGGACATAGGGGACCCTCCTGTGGTTTAGCATAGTCCCTAACATAGTCCTTGATACGGCCCTATGTCCATCAATTATTTTTGACTGTAGCTCATATACTGCCCAATAGAACGCTAAGCCTTAAACCCTACAGAAGGAAATACTGACTGCGGCTCATGTGGGAAATAACGGGCTATCATTAAAGCAGTCCAAGGTCGAGGGATGTTAGGCTTAGGGTTTTTGGGGTTTAGGGCTTCGGGCTTAGGGTTTATGGTCCCCCTTAAGCAGATAGAATGTGGTTTCGGGTATATTATAATAAGGTCCCCATATTCTACCTACTAAACGGGGACTATAGGGTTTAGAGGTTCCAGCTTAGGGTCTTGGGCTTAGGGATGGGATTTTGGGGTTTGGGGTCGAATCAGACACGAGGACCCCTGGCCTTTTTTGGAGCGGGGCTTAGGGTTTAGGGTTTAGGGTATAATAGCGGATTATACCGGGGAGTATTTCCGGAGTTCATTAAGGGGGGATACTAGGAGTTTAGACTGTGGTTGATATTCCTCACTACAGGTATGCAGACATACATGCATACGTGCATACATATACGCAAATGTACATATACGCACATGTACATATATATATATATGCATATATATATATACACTTGCAGAGACATACGTATATTCATAGATGATATGATGAGGTATGCGTGCGTCTGTGTCACTGTGTGCCCGTGTGTATTCCAGGTACTCACTTTCCAGTACATAGCCAGGCCATCATGGTCCTGAACCCCAAAACATCCTCATCCCACATTGCCGACTGAAAGCCTTAGGGCCGTAAATTCTAAACCCCTAAAACCCTAAACCCAAACCCCTGAAACCCTAAACTCCAAACCTTAACTCCTAAGCCAGGCCATCATGGCCCTCTTCCTGGGGGATGTGGCCACCCTGGCTGCCGTGGCGCTAAGGTTGCGCTCCAGGGGGCGGGGGGAGATTGAAGTTTTTGGTGTTTAGGGTTTAGGGTTGTGGGGTTTAGGGTGTGGGGTTCGGGGTTGGGGTTTAGGGTTTGGGGTTTGGGGTTGGGGTTTAGGGTTTGGGGTTTTAGGGGTTTAGGGCTTAGTTCCGGTTTATGGTTTGGTTTGGAGTTCAAAGAGTATAAGGTTTCTGGCTTTATGATGTCTAGCGCTGCCGGTAGAAAGTTGGGGGCTAGGATTTTGTGTTAAAGGGTAACCGGGCAAGTTGTTGGTTTTTGATGCAGACCTTGGGATGAGTGGCACGTCAGTCAGGGGTTTTGAATCTGGCAAGTGAAGGGTTTTTCAGGCGCAGCAGTAGTATCCTGTGACTATTCTATGTCGCTCATAGGGCACTAAATACAGGCTTAGGGTGCCCAATATCTCCATATATTAAAGAAAGAAAGGGTTTAGGGTTTCGGGCTCATGGCCTTTGACCCGCATTGTGTAGCTTGCTTGCATCTTGGCTACCGAACTTCATACGAGCTACTGTCAATATTAACCTTAGTAAAGGACCCTTGGCAAAGGGGTCCCTCTTGTGGTAAACCCTCAGATAATCTCAGTTTCCATGTCATGTCTGATCTTCGATCATGTATACCGGGGTCTACATCAGCTACAGTCAAGATTTCCCAGATAATCAAGGATTTAGGGTGTAGAGTTATGGATTTACGGTTGAGGGTTTAGGGTTTAGGCTGTAGAGTTATGGGTTCAGGGTTGAGGCTTTAGTTGTTAGGATTTAGGGTTGAAGGTTGAGGGTGTAGAGTTTTGGATTTACGTTTTAGGGTTTAGGATTTAGGGTTTAGGGTGCAGAGTTTTGGATTTAGGGTTGAGGATTTAGGGTTGAGGGTTTAGGGTTAAGGATTTAGGTTGTAGGGTGAAGGATTGAGGGTTCAGGGTTGAGGTTGTAGGGGTGAGGGATTACACTCTTGGTTCAGCCCTAAACCTTTTTCTTTATGAATCCTACACGTTGGTGTTGGCACGCTTTTGTCAGATGGTTCTGTCACTCTGCGACCAAGCGGCTGTTTCCGAGGATTTGCAGCTGTCAGGGATACCACAGCGGGGCATCGGTTCCTAGAGCGGATGACGAATGGTTCAGGGCTTCCGGGTTTGGGGTTTAGGGTTGGCTGTGCCAAGTGGTGGATGCATTTTCTAGACCGGAATTGTCGAGTAAATTATGGGATTATGTGGGGCAGAATTTGAGCTGAATGCAACATACCCAGACCCTCCTATGTAGTCCTCTTGGGGTAGTATATTATAATCCCTTACCAAAAAACCATAACAGACCCAAAGAAAACTACATGGGAACGCCTGGGTAATGTGAGGAACCCACAGTAGTCCTTAAACCCTAAACCCTAATAGCCTAACCCTTAAGCCTAATCTTCG